TTTTCGACAGTCTATCTTCAACTAAATTAAGTAAAAGGAAAAGTTAAAATAGATATTAAGAGATTTTATTGCAACTCTTACGAACATATGAATAAAGACATGACGCCGGCAATGTTAAAAAATTTAAAGCAATATAATAAAATAAAGGTTCTTAACGAAAGTAAGAGAAATATCCCTTAATGATTAGTAATAAAGATAAACTACTCCCTAAAATCAAGATGTACACTAACGCCTTTGTACCAAAAAGACGTTAGAATAAAGTGGATACTGCAAATTCAAATTGTCAATTGATTCGGTTTAACTAAAACAACCATGCCTTTCTGTCAATATCGAAATCAATTGCTAAATTAAAAGATAAGTAAATCCTAAAGACTGGGCGAATAATATAGATTTCATTAGCGATGTTAAACACCCCTTAAGCTAGATAATGGCAAACGTTGAAAAGTAAAACAAATATGAAGCCAACATTTCTGAATTAAAAAATATTGACTGAGTCAATAGTACTTATTTTATTTATCCTAGACACAATATCTGAACTGTATTTCAAAAAGGAACAGGCTTTATGTTGTGAAAATGTGGTATTTTTTACTTGTGGAAGTGTAAGACGTAAATGCTTAATACATTCTTATTCTGTCATGTTATTCATGTTTCACTTATTAATACTATTTTGTACTGCAAAATAAGTTGGAAATTTTTTATAAATTATTTGTAAAGAGGTTTTCGAACAGAAGTGAAACAACAACAAAAATTTATTTTTTAAATTATTTTAATTAATTGAATTTGGCTGACATACGCTGTTTCGAGTATGCAATACCTTCATCAGTGGTCTTGGAAATAATTCTTGTATTTAATTATTCGTAAATAATTATTTTTGAGACTGCAAGTACCAGGAATCGAATTATTTGTAAAATTTCTTCAATTATATTATTTGAGTTATTTATAGATAGTATAATTCAAAAAATTTATCTAAAAATTATTCAATAATGACCAACACAGCCATCAAATTTAAAAAAAAATAACTACATTTAAAGTGGAAAAATAAGTACTGGTTCACTAACAGGGCTTCAACCTGAAGATACACACGTCAGACTACTACGATTGCAATATCAGAATTTTAAAATAAAGTACTTTGAGATATTGTTATGTATCTGTTACACAGATACATAAAAATATGTACCGGCTTATGTGCTGGCATCATCACTATTCCAAAACAATAAATTCCCTATCTATAAGTAACTCCCCAAACAAGTATTGTGCTTCGACGCTCCACTCCTGAGATACTCTAGTCGGCCTAGCAAAAGTGTAGCAATTTTAAAATAAAGTACTTAGATATGTGGGTGAAGCTTTTTGGTCTGTTAGAAGCAGTGACAAACATAGGCACTTCAAATTTTCATCAATCGAAAAATAAGTAAAAAGAATTCCAATTCGAAAATAAAACGGCTTACAACCAATGATTAAACTCCCGCAATTGTGAACCATACTTAGAAGGTTGAAGCGAACGAAGCCGTTTGGCTTAAAAATGTGATCTTTCCATGACTCTGTCTAATGTTGAAGCCTAGTAGACTTTCAAATAGTCTTATAATATATAATAATATATGTTCTTAATATATAAGAAAATCAAAAAATATTATAAAACATTGGTTGGAGTATGTTTATCCTTCATATGATATTTATCTCTGCGCAACAAAGAATGACTTATTATTTCCACTTAGCAATGTTAATTGCTAATCCAAACTTAAGTGACAGCACCACCCAATATCAATTCTGCACATTCTGTATTCTCCCTCACAGATTCATTGAAATAAAAGAAACAAAAGAAATTTGTTAGCTTCATTAAGATTTTGTTAACAAATTCCTAGCAAAATTTCAGTAGGTTTTACAAAATTGTTTAACGCCAAACTGCATTTCATCAAATTAAATGCAAATTCGAGCACCGAAACCGCAGTTGGTATGAGCACAGATCGCCCACACAGCAATAATCAATGAAACACCTTTTAACCAAACGATAACAACAATCTTCTTGGTGGTTAACATGTGCAACCAGCCAACGAACAAAACCAACAAATGCGTTGCAATTGCCACTGCAATTTCGCTACAGCAATTTATATTTTTTGCCAGCAATTGTTGCTGCTTGTGTCTGTTGCAAGTGTTTTGTTTGTTTGCTTGCTTATTTGTGGCAAATTATACCACAAACAAATTTCATTTTCAATTGTCAAACCAGATGCTAAATAGTAACCAGCCAACATCGGTCTCAGAATTACTTTTCGTTTACCTTCCTTCCCTACTGGCTTTTGTGGTGCTCTATTGAGGCTTTTGTGGTGAGAAACGCTAGCGCCAATGCGACAAATGTGCTGCTAATTTAATATGCAACAATTGTTGCAAATGCAATTGTTAAACGGAGTTAAGTCATTCATTTTGGAAAATGTTGAGTGTGTGGCATTAACTGCAATCTTTTCAGATATACTACAAAACGTTGCAAATATCTCCTAGCTAAAGTAATTTAAATCATTAAGCGTGGCAGTATGCTTGGGTGTTTAATTTCATAAAAACTTGCTCATTTTGATAAAAGCATTTGCTGCTTGAAAAGACCACACAATTAGAAAACTAACAATTCAATTCAAAACAATTTTAATAAAATAAAATCATAAATACACAAAAATGCAACTACTTTGGTTGCAAAATTCTATTTAAAATACAAATACATATATATAAGTATTAAAAAACTTGTTACTGGGTGGATTAATAAATGCCCGTTCTAAGTAATAAAAATATATTTTATATTTTTTAGAAAATTATATTTTATTCTTCAATATAGTCCTCTTTTAGCTTTACGTACAGAGTCCAAAGTACTTTTCACATTTGGATACCTTTTAAATAATACGATTAATTAAATCCTCCAAAAAGTCCTCGTTTTCTCATGATTTCCTCATTTAATATATCCAATAATATGTTATGATTGCTTTTCTTTTTTCCAAATAGTCTATGAAAATTATTTCACTTGAATCCCAAAATATGGAAACCAAAATTTTTCTAGCCGATTGTTAAGTTCGTGGTCGTTTGGGAGTACTTCCCCCGGGCTCTACCCATTCTCTAGATTGTTGTAATTTCCAGAAAAATTACAATTAAATGTAAATAAATTAACTGATATTAAAACAGTTCCAAATGCAATAGCATTTTATTATACCAAATTTCGTTAATATTGTTACTTAATATGATAGTTAAGATAACAATCGAAAATGAAAGTGATTTCTGTAACAATCCTATATAAAACAATATATCGGGTGTTTTTTTAGCTACATGAAAACTATCGATATCGATAACTATGGTTTGACTGCTGAGAATTTCAAACTGTGTTGACACTTCTGTTCAGTAAGATTTATTAATTCATCATGAATCATTCAACGCTTCCAAATTGGGGAAATTTAGTTTCAACAAATAAATCATTTTGCGAAGTTTATAGAGCACTTCGTTCATTTTACGGTCCTCATAATGACTACGAAAATAAGCAAAATTCCCGTATATCGAGTGATGATGATCCTCAAGCCGTTAACGAATCACCATTACATCCATTAAAATTGATTGTTTGGTGCGGTTTAAATGCTGATAGCAACATCGGTTCGAGATGATGGAGGAGCCGCCGTTGCGGTGAATGGCAAGCGCTATCGGGCGATGCTGACTGAATTTTTGTAATCAATTAAACATCGAAGACATTTGGTTCTAATAAGACAATTTAATAAGAAATTTATTTCCAGAAGTGGTCCTGTTAACTGGCCCCCTCATGCGTGTGATTTAAAGTCTTTCGATCACTTTTTATGGGGTTATGTTAATTCGTTATCAGGTTAAGTTTATGCCAACAAGCCCCTAACTCTTGAAGCATTGAAAACAAATGTTCATGCCCCAATTGACATGAAGGTCATATGGTCACATTTATTGTAAAAAATAGTCAAAAATTGGACTGATCGAATGAACCACGTAACTTATAGTCGAGGTGTACATGTACCGAAAACCATATTCATAAAATAAATGCCATGATATTATCTACTGGATTATAATAAAAAAAATTTTATTCCAACAATATTTCTGAGTTATCATTTTAGGCTCTAAAACAGGTAAAGAAAACACTCGATATAATAATGGACAAGGAGGGCACATTTGAAGAAATTTCACTTGATGTATTATAAAATGAAGAGCAAGAAAAGGTTATTGCATTGAAATAATTAATTTAATTGTATATATTATAACATAATTAATAATAATTAAAAAATAATTAATTAATAAACTATTTTTATATCATTGTAACAAAAGGTCTTTAAGTCAAGAATCTAGTATGAACAACTGCCTATAAATATTGTACAAAAGCCCATATCTTCATCAATGTTGTATCACATTTGAGAGGAAGGTCGGTGGAGTTGTATGGGGTCAAAACCCCATTAGCTTTCTTTTCATTATGCAATATTAATTGGATCTTACTTGTAAGAGCTTCATTACTCTCGTATAATAATTTATTTTTAAATGAAAAACAAAACAGAGATAATGTGAATAAGGGACGCTTCTTGAGAGGTCATCTCACCATGGAAAATATTTTAATAAAATAAAATCTGCCATTTCTTAAAAAATAAAACTATATATTAATAAATAACTATAAAACAGAAACAATATGAATATTCCGAATACAAATGTCATTTAATGATTTTTTCAAAAATTTCATTTCAAAATTTTGTTTTGTATTTTCGAAATGTGTACAAATAGGTTCAAAAAAAATCTCTAAACATTTCGGTATTGGAAGACCCATGATTTTCGAGAAAAAAATAAGGTATTGTAAAATTTTTTATGTATTAATTGTAGACCAAATGTTTGAGTATTGTTGATATTCATATCATTTCGCTTAGTTATATTTGAATATTTAGATAAGAGGAGATATACTATTAATTACTTTTAAAAAAACATTTAAGTCATTTACTTTGTTCAAAATTTTAACTTTAATTACATCTTTTGATCGCATTAATAATGAGATCAAATTCTTCGCATAAATATTTATTACATATAAACCTATACGTAAAACCTTTTATACATATAATGTGTTCATATTTTTCTTTAGGAACTTTCAAATACATTAATCATCTAGAACAAAATTTAAAATATATTGTAAATTCAAGTAAATTCAAAATGTCTTCAGAGCACAATGACAACTATAATTTTGATACAAAGTTTTTTCCACAAGAATTAACAGAGGATAATGTAAACTTCTTAAAAGGCATTTTAGAGTTTGGTTTAAATCCACCAAAAAGGAGTTTAAATGTGCCCGTCATGAGTGAAAAACATTATTGGGAAATGATGCATGAACCAAAGAAGCAAGAATCATCTATTATTAAATCATGCTTTAAAGTTGTAAATAGATTTCAGTCTTCCTACTTTATCAATAGAACGACTATTCTAGGAAAAATACAAGTCAGTCTAATACCAGAAGAACTGTTAAATGATCCATTGATTATAATATTAGGCGGACTATGGATTGCAGTTCATTGCTTTTAAAAGCCAAACTTTTGAAGATATAAGACCGCCAATTTAAATAACTATATATATAACAAATGTACAAAATCAGTAATATCAAACATAAAGGCCCAGTTCGCAAAATGAAATAAGTACAATGAGTTAAAGATATATCTAAGAGACAAGTTTTTTGTGGATACGTTTATTCGAATTACAAAAAGAAACGTTAGAAATGAATTAATTATATAATCATATAATTATGTTAAAATTATATTAGTGAAGAAATATTAGGTGTAAAATCGCAAATAGTATAATTTAATTCATATAGTTAGATCTTATGTTAAAGATCAAATGTATGCGAAAAGACTTGAAGCCAAACCTGAAGGAGTAACGAAGCATACAATGTTAGAATAGTAGCTCTCATCCTTTATCATTGATAATAATAAAACATAAAAGGTAATACTTTTATAATTAAAAAATATCTATAATTAATTTTGAATTCTTACTAAGTGAAAGAAAGAACATCTTATAAATGATATCCTAAGAGTTGAGACGTAAATTTGTTAAAGAGGAAATTACTTTTCTGTTAAAAAACTGAAGAATGAAAGAAAGTTTTAAAACATCAAACATTTGAACACATATTTTCTTAAGTTGAAATGTACAAATAGAAATATATAAATATTTTAGAATTTAATCCAAAGACATTACCGAATAAATAAATAAAATGAAAATTAAAAACTTTTATTATCTACTAATAGGTGGATGTTATATCAATAAATCATCTTTAATAAGAACTTGTTGAAATGAAACATAATTTTTTATTAGATAATTAAGAATAGAAGGACTCTAAAATTGATGAAGATCTTGTCACCAGGTCTGTTTCTACAAATAATAAAGTTATCGAACATTTGTCTCAAATGCTCGTTGAGTTTCCTGATAATACGCGTACTCTAGCAAAGTCTCGCTGAAACTGAACTCGACAATATAAGAAAACAAATTTTTCGATTTTCTTTATTTCTAAAAAGTACTTTTTTATTTTAGTAAAAAGTTCTAAAAAGTACAATATCATACTATTAGCCTATAAGTAACACAAATAACGTAATTTTAAGGATGCATCGATAAATGTTAGCTCATCTTAGAGTCTCTTTTCTTCTAAATGTGCGTACTTTTTTTGGGAACAATGCTGTAGAGGCAAAAATGAATCTAGTACCATCATCAACGTACCACTTTACAAAAACTTTTTACTAAAAATTAATTTAAATTATAAATAAGTCGAAAACCTGCATGGATGTAAGTCATCGCAATATCATTTTCAAAACATTACGAAATAAAAAAATTAAGTTAATTGACAAATAAATTATAAATTCTTTAAGTGCCATTATATTGATATAAATATCTACTAAATAATAACCATTATAACTATTATATGTGGCAGATACATTGCCACAGAGACAATTAGAAGATGAATAATACGATAGTTTGCATCAAGAAAACACTCGATATATTTAAATAATTTGAGCATAACGCAAACTTCGTTCAATCTTTTATTTAAATTTAAACATAAAACAGTTAAATATAAGTTGGAAAAAAAACAATATGCAGACATGTGAAACTTTCTAATTTTGAGCAAGCTACGTCGTTCAGTTGGTGTTTGATAGCCGTTCAAAGCAGACAACCTCGTGAATTTTTACGAAAATGGAAGAAAATGGAAGCATTCGTGGCCAAAATCCACGAATTGGGATACAAACTGCTACCCCATCCAGCATATTCTCCAGATTTAGCCCCCTGCGACTATTTTCAATTTCCAAATCTAAAGAAATGGCTGGGCGGTAAGAGATTTGATTTGAGCTTATTCCCTCTCTATTATTTGGAGGGAATAAGAAAATTAGAAAAACTTTGTACTAAATGTATCGAGCTGAAAGGTTATTATGTAGAAAAATAAAATGTTTATTTACCAAAAAAAATTTGTTTTATTCAAAAAGTTACTGACTTATTAAACCGCACTCGTATGTGACGATAACAGTGTAAGACCCCGTGAGATATCAGTGTTATTATACAAATGCTTATCAGTCAACATCAACTATTTGCTGCCGCTATAGGGAAAATGTAAGTACTTTACGGATAAGCAAAGTGGGTTAATCAATCTAGGGACTTACTTTCTTGAGTATCTTAACTAAAATACCTTCTCCTGAAATTCATTTTATATTTCACTAAAAGTTAAAAATGATTTTTAGCTTTTTGAGATTTATATGACAATACAATGGGCCACCAGGTCTAAATTATTCATACATTATTTTCTAATATTGCATTTTTGATAGGTTAGTATGAATTGAATCTAGATTTACTCTAGATCTGTCAAGTTTTGTGCCCAATCGAACATTTTTAGAGTATTTTAATAATATAAAATATCTGTTAATTTCAGGGTAAATTTCCTACTCTGGTAAAGTATTTAGATAGTTATAAATTAATCTCAAATGTTATATATTTCGCACGAGATTTACCAATCGAAAATAAAATCGCACTAAGGTTGCATTAAAAGAGCATCGTGATTGAGTAAATTAACCCAGATAAAACAATCGAAAGTGCCATTAAAGTCAGTTGTGTCGTACAATAGATATAATAGACTAGTAAGTTGTAGTTTAGTATGTTATAATCACTGAATTGGAAAACGATCCCAGGAGGCAGCAGGTTGAGATAAATACAACACAATAAATATATAATCCGATATAAAAAACTTTTACTTTAAGAAAACATCATGATATTGTACCTGTTTATGGGTTACTATTCTTAAACATATCAAAGTGATATGGAAAAAAAATCATTTGATATAATTGAAATCCATACAGCTGTACATTTATCACTTTAATTTCGTTCTCGCATAGAAGAGTTGAGGAACAGAACGCTAAACACAGTAAGTGAAGAGCAATGAATATTTCAGCAACCCAAGACCTATAATTTCTAGTACTAGATAATTTACCCATAGTTTCCTCAATCCAGAAGTCAATAAGAAAATAATTAAATTATGTTTATTATTTCTATTGAAAAATAATAGCTTAAATATTGCCTATAGTTATAATCTGTGAATATATGTATACCAACCCAGCATGAAGTAAAAACCGAGGCAATAAGGCAAGGCATTAATAATTTCTACAAATTCAAAAAAAAATTATACACATTAGGATTACTAAAATTATATACATAATTCCAGCTTCAGCATTACGCATTTTTTGATTTCTGCTGCAAATGTTTTAATTGTGCGATTTTTGTCCTG